ATGCAATATAAATAATAATATTTGACCAACTGCTTGCACTTGTACTGTTTAAGTGACGTTAAAAAGTACGATAATTAAATGGTTCTACGAATAATATTACTATTATATGACTATATATTATAATATTTTAATGATAGAGTTAAGTATTTAATACTCTACATAGCTTAACAAATAACGTGGTTTTGTAACCAAAATTGTTTTATTCATGAATCGGAAGTATTATAGTGTTGCTAGTGCACTCTAAATTATCTTGCGCTATATTTAAATATGCACTCATTACACAAATTTTAAATAATTAACCTATGGTTAAATATTTGATGTTAACACTTTGAGATTTACTGAAATAAATGAGTTTTTCGAATAGAAATTTAGAAGTAGGGGTTACCATTTTGAATTAATCAACATTATGATTACAAAATAATTAAACATGAAACATTTTTGAGAATTTTTAGTATTATAAGTAGAAAAATCAAAAAAACTACAATGATGAATTATGATTGTCTTGTACGATAAACATGAATTAAGTTAAGTTACTATTTGAGAATAATATCGCTTTGCAGCTTGTGTTTAAAAAATAATAAAACAAAATCGAATGCTTGATAAGAACGAAGACTCGTAGTAGCTATTAAGTATTAATAATTACCTGTGCATTATTCGATGAACGTTTTTTTACAGTTTTATTCAATATAGTTTCCGATTAATTAAAAATACATATTTAAATTCATATTTACTTCATCGAATATTACTTAATATTGTGTATGGTACTATTAAGAAATATTATACGAATAATCCATACATATTATTATATAGGTATTGTAAAACGCCTGTTTAGACTATGCCGTATGCACTACGGTGGTACGGTAGTACGCTCCGAAATAATTAATTAATATAATAATATGATCTCAACAAATCGCGATACCCAAACTTATAAAAATATTATAATTATTATTTTTTTTAAATTTTGTATTAATTGTCCAGCTGCAACTTAGGCCATTGGGAGGGGGTGTGGGATTGTAGGTTTTGGAACGGTAGGTGTGTTACACGTGGGTGTATTTTTTGGCAGAATTTCGAATAGGGCCCCCTTAGGTTTCTGCCATGACCTGGAGTGGGGGATGGCGGCAATTGTTCTCCGGGCACCGTGACTTGCCCGGAGAAAAATGCCACCCGGTGGTCGAGAATCGAAACCGCGACCGGCAGCGCCTCAGCCGATGCGTTAGACCGCTCGGCCACCTCGTCACCATTAAAATTATGATAACTATTTGGTTTGAAGCAAATTTTTTAAAGGAAAAAATAAATTATAAGATGCACATATTATTATGTAAATGATTATTATATTATAATATAAACGACTCGATTGTAAATATTTACCTACAATATAGAATTCGGCCTATGGTGAATAAGTGGCCTAAAAATCAATCGTAACAATATTATGTAATACTAAAATAATATAATAGATATTATGTTATAAGTTATAATAGTAATAGAAATAAATAAGACAATCTGTAAGTAGGACATCTATAGTATGTTTGCCTATCTCTCTCTCTCTCTCTCTCTCTCTCTCTCTCTCTCTCTCTCTCTCTTTCTAATATCTTAGTCTATTTACCGGATTTGTATATCTATTTTCTGTCTTTCCAATGACGAAAAAAAATGTATTGAGCAATAAATTATGCTTTATTGTTACAATGATATTATACCGTCCGAAAACAATATTATATAATAGGTATTAGTTTATGCGATTGTTAATAATATCCAAACAAAAAACTATTTATATTATATTTGATTGTGTGTACTCGACTTGAATTAATTATTAACTTACCTATTAGCTAATCCATACAGCTGAGTACGGACTTGTATTCTTGGTGTTCATAAATCATAATAAAATAGACAATTATGTTTATAAATTTATAATTAAACTTAATAAACTCACAGTTTTTAGTTTATAATATTTTTTTTCGATTAAATAATCACAAATGATTCGTTTATACGTTACAGGTACACGTCTTATAATAATTAGGTATAACGTATAATAAAGTAACTCTGGGCTTAAATTCGGATAAATCCCTTTTCAATTTATATTTTATCTTTATTTTAAGGACACATTTTTAAATTAACAACATTGTCTCTAAATAATATCGGTAGTTATTTTTAACAAAAAACTACATAGGTTGATATTACCTACCTCCATATATCATTGATAGAATTGGAGGATATGATTTACATTCAAAAATAGTCAAAATATTGTGTGTTAAGTGTTAACGTTATTGAAGTGTGGTTTTTCAATGAATTTGTAACTTTGAATTGCACTTTAAATGAATATAAATATAATTTAATTCTCTCTTTTGTGTAATTATCTGTTCACTATTGATTTAGTACGTAATAATAAATAAAAATATTGTATTTAGTTAATTTGTTGTATAATTATTATATTAAATAGTATTTCTTAATTTTTTAGTTTTTCATTCGAAATATTTTTACTTTGAGATTGGGATCTATACAATTGTGTTTAATTAATTATTAAATTTTTTTAGAATTTGATAATTTCTCTTTTTAAAATGTGTTTAACGAAGTTTAACAAAACATGTTATTGTTTGACATCCATAAACTCATTTTAAAAACGTGAAATGTAGTCCGGAGTTAAACACTCAAATGATAACATCGTTTTTCTTATTTTCTTTATACATTTATATAGGTGTTGGGAGACTTATAATAAATAGGTATAAAATACGTGTACCTATTTAGTTCACCAATTAATTATTATTAATACATGCTTGTGATTATTTTCTTACGCATATAATAATATTATTTATTACCTTTACAAAACTCACTATAACTCAATATACCTATTATTATTTTATATTAGTTTTAGTCTCACATAACATTTGAGCCTATAGCCTCACTTGATTTTTTTAATTTCATACTTTTTTGTATACTAAGAATGTCTAATATCTTTATAAATGTTCCTTTAGAGCATATTATATTGATAGACTGACAGTTTTATCTAAGTACTAATTTAATGAGTTGAAAACATTTTTCGATTTTCTCATTAGTCTTAATGTTTGGCCATGGACGCCAAAAGTATTTAAAATGCTCAGACTACAGATTAAGCCAAACAAAAATAAATACTTATATCGTCGTTTGTAGGATTTTTTAAACATTTCTTTGGCTTAATCAATCTGCACATTTTTAATAGATATTTAATTAAGTCCCTATAACATTAGAAATTTAGAATAGACGAAAATCGATACAAAATAAAAATATTCAACTCTTTACTTTAACATTTAGATAAAACTGTCTGTCGATCGATAGGTATAGTATGAGCATCAGAAATATTTTGAACCTTTTCCCTATACCTATCCAAAAAAGTATGTAAGAATAAAAACTCTAGTTGATCTGAATCTAAAAAGAAAAACATTCATTGTAAAAATAATAATATATATGAGTTATCTAATAAATATTAATATGAGTACAAACAATTAAGCATAGGCCTGTAAGTTGTATTAATAAATTGATTTGATCACTCCACGCATTATTTCATACGTTTTTCTAAGTTAAACATTTACAGGTTATTTGTTTGTTTTATGACGTGATGTATAACTATTTAGTGAAAATCATATCAGAGTTTGTCATTATTTCACCGCCAATAGGTACATTTAAATAAGTACTTGTAATCTGCGCAAAAATATAAAAACGATATGTGATTTGCTCCACATTTAAATATTAATTTTGGTAATGTGATTCACGGCAGAAAATTAAATGTTAGTTGATTTATTGATATATAAATTATTTTTATCAGCACAAGACTTTCCATTTCAATTATTTGAATTTACCTGATACATTTACAGGGCTCATAACAGTTCTACCATATTTAAAACGAGAATAAATAACATGATCAATGTTTGGTCAATAAATTATAATATTTCTGATTTTTAAATATTGTATTGCCTACTTAATTCTCTTTACAGTTTTTGGCCAAATGTTATCTACCTGCTTCGTATAAAATATTTATTTATATTTTACTACCCGGAGATTGGGCCATAAATATGTAGCATAAAAATATACGAATATATGACATTTATTAATTCTTACTAAGTCGACAGTAACTTTTGTTGACTTAAATTGTAAACACAGGTCAATAAAGGATAGTTGATTTTAATGTTTTTATATAAGTATTTTTTTGCTTCTCTTGAAGTAGACAAAATACTAAAGGAACATAATATGAATTATCTTTATAACCATGAATAGAAAATAATGGATAAAAATACTTCGCACAGTATTCGAAATTGTCGTCAACATAAATACATTTTATCGAACATAGGAAATTTAAGAGACTCCCTAGTCCCTGGCGCATAATTCTGTATAAGTACCTAAAATTTCAATTAGGTACCTAGCGTATATTTTTTTAGTTTAGTTTATGTACATTTTAATATATTTCTTGAAATATATTCATTAAAATAAATCTGATTAATGGATTAAATACAATAAAATAAAAAACACGCGAAGAAGTTAAAAAAATATATTATTAATTATTTTAGTGTGGCTCAAATTACAATTATGTCCTTTTATATAGTTTTATGTTTTATGTGGCGCAAATTACAAACTTACAAAGTTGAACAATATTCATATGTGTAAATTACATACGACTATTTTCTATCCTTATTTTAATAAGTAAAATCGTTTAATACCGTATTGTCTATAGTATTCACTCTATAGGTACCATCACAATATTGTTATCATTGGATCGTCATTCAATTTAACTATCTAGTTATGTATTTTTACACATAAATAGTTACGACGTTACGCTATAAATCTAGTAATAATATTTTAATAGGGACTTATTAAATACGATAAGTATATTACCAATATAAGACTCTTAACTAAAAATTGTGCCAATAAATAGGTAATGATAAATGCATAGTATTATGTTCTTGTGCTTGGTTCAGGAATTGGTTACTCTTATAAAAAAAATAACTGGTATTTTTCTTTATTCAAAATAAATGTCGATGCGTCCTCGTACAAGTGAAACCAAAATTTCTTCCCAGTCCTCCCCTAACTTCTCAAAACCAGTACTGATAACATGTTTGTATGATATTATATCACTGCAGATGTCTAACAACATTGGAAACAACGATTCAATGGCCCAAGGAGCAGAAAATGGCAGTGGCGTGCGCGGTCGTCGCCGCCGCCGCCCTACGAATGATACACAACCTATCCTGTCGAGACGGGCGAAAAGAGCGATCCCGGAATGGATGCATGAGAGTGTAAGGCTAGTAAATTATTCTCAAAATCAACCTACGAATCATCCGATAACTTACCAAATAACCCTACATCATTATGATAGAGAAGAGACGACCATGGGCTCGAGGAATGTGGAAGGTGTCGAAGATATTAATTGGGTCGAACGATTGGAAACAATTATTGAAGAATGATCGCCACAGTAAAATATTATAATGCAACAATTTAAAATAACAATATTAATAATAGTCAAAGTTGACCATTAAAAAAGGTCTATAGTCCGAGCCACGATGTCATAATATAACAGCTATAATTGTAAACCATATCATTATACGTCATAAATCATAATACATATTATTATAAAATCCGATCGGCCGTAGTACGATTAGACCACCATATTATATTGTATTCTTTATACACCTACCCTTTAATATTTTCAACCATACGATTTAATATTATCATTAAAATAAGTAATAATACATATTGTTATCATTGAGTAGGTAGGTATATTATATTGTAATTAGTATATTTTACAATATATGTACACGAATACTCAATGATGTATAATATTATTATTACGTCGTTTGTATACGTTTTACTTATGCTCAAAACTAAAAGGGTGTTTTTGTTCTAAATGTTTATCATCGTACCTGCTCATGTTATACCTATCATTATTATTATTATTATTATTAATATTTTTTGCTTGAATAGTCTATCATAGTATCATAACAAAATTATTTACGTTACAAATAATAAACTATATTAATCGTGTTACTTTATTTTTATTGTTTTTCTTACAAACCCCACAATACCTAAATTATACTTACAACTCCACCGTTCCTTTGTAAAATAGGTAATGAGCAAACCACCTGCACTAAAAACATGATTGGGTAACTCAAATTTTAAGTCACAAATTTATCTTGTAGGTTGTTTGTTTTATGACGTGGTGTACAGTATATTATGTTTATAGTAAGCAGAGCTAACGAATTTGCATGTTTTTTGATCCTTTGTTAAACGAATTAGATCGAATATAAACTTATTTTAAAGTTTAGGTAGTACTTGTTCAAAATAATACGAAATACTATTATGAATATTTTTTCATAAGTATTTATTTTGGATATTTTAAAAGATAATCATACCAGCAACATAGGTAAAAATTATTATTTTTATTTATAATAGTTTTAATTTCTGTTGTATTTATTATTATATTTAAATGAAGATTTATTTAAAATAGGTAAGTATATCATAATAAATATTCTTTAATATTTAATTGAAAATTACATGATTGATGGCTATGCATAATTATCCAATTTGTAGTGTTCGGAACATTCACTAAAAAAATGAACTCGTTCACGTTCAATCTCATGTTTTTTTTCAAACGAACGAGTTCACGTTCACGTTCTTTTAAAAAATGGACGCGTTTTCATTGGGTCGTTATTGATTTTTTTTTTTTTTAGGAACAGTTAGCCTGCAGTTAATATAAAAATTAAAAACCCATAAACATAATATACGACTCAACCAAAAAATAAAAATACAATTTACACTTTAGAGCATATAAAATTTATAAAGTAGCTGAATTAATTTTTAATATCTGACACGTTATTTGAGTTACATTTTGATAAGGATTTCCTAGTGATAAAATTAAGAGAAACTAGGGTACTTATTAAGAAATTCGTGGAAATCATAATATTATTGTTGTTGTATATTATCTAGCCGGGGACACTGGAATTTCACGTATTTAATTTATATATTTTGCAATCAAACAAATATTATAGGAATTATAATGGGAAAAATGAATATATTATTATTATAATATAATTAATTAATATATTATATACATATAATATTTATTCAATGAATAAATTGAACGTCTTAAAAATCAATGAAATTGATTAAAAATATAAACACCGTTCAAATTCTGTTCGCGTATCATTCACTGTATATGAACGTGAACGCGTGAAGGTGCGTTCATGAACGACGTACTTTCCAAACACTGCCAATTTGTAATGCTTACTTGTCAGTTTTTAGTTAATATTTTAAATTCAACATCCTTGTGATAATGTTACGTATCTACTTAATTTTGTACCTACATAATAGAATTCGAGTGTAATCGTGGTGGCTGCTTCCAGAACTATTATTATATTATACTATACATAATAATATATAAAACTCTGGGTCTACAACTCTTGCATTGAATATAATTTATAATAATTGTCGATATAAAGGTTAGTTATAGGTAGGTAGGTTTTGATCTAGAAAAAAACATGATATTATAAAGGTAGGTACTAGGTATTCTGAAATAATTACTATGATATTGTTTATGTAGGTAAGTACATCAATATCATATGACATAATATATATTATTGTTATTAACATGTACATCAATACCGACGTACAGAGTGAATAGTTACGTAGACTCTTAGAATAAATAGTTTAAAAAAAGTCTAAATATTGTTTTGAAAATTTCATTGAGAATGGAAAATAATAATTTCATCATCCTATATTTTGAAATATAATTTAATAGTTTTATTATATTTATTTACAGCATAATAACTAAAATCGTTTCAGAAAAAAAAATGAAATTAATATAAAATAACAATTTTTATCAAAATTAGAACTTCTTTAAAAATAGAACTTCTTAAATTTGAACAATAATGTCTAAAAAAAACCTGGCGTAAACTTATTTTTATGTTTTTAGAACTCCATAAGAATACTTACCTACATAATATGAATAATATTATAAAATTGTTCAGCTTAAACTATTATAATTGAAAACCATATATGTTTTTAACACTAATATATTATAATAATATAATTTACAAATGTTCGTGATTTTGTCCACATTTTAATTTCAATCTAAAACAATCGCGTTTTCTGCATAATGATATGGATTTTTGATATTTCTAGGTTTTTATATAAAAGTACAACTTATGAGAAACAGTGAAATACAGGAATTCATTATTTTGTGGGAGGGGGGTTGAAGCCCTACTCAGTCCCCCTATATTCGCCATTGTCCACTGATGAAAAACCTCGTAAATATATGTATAATATATTATATTATGTTATACAAGCATTTTTACCATGAAATTTCAAATAGCTATTTATTAATAACTTGAAATTAGTTTAAATATTTTGAAAATGTCAATTAAAGTAATAGTGGAATGTAGTAAAATTGTTAATAAACGACAAAATTACGAATGGATATTAAAACTGTTGAGCTGTTGAATTGTTTTGGAATGTTTGGTTAATCAATTATAATGGCCGTCGCCATACATATATAATATACATATATATATATTAGGTGGGATCTTCTCATTAATAAACGCCCTAGCTAACTAATGGATATTCAAAACTAGTCGTGGTCGTGACCACTTTTTTAATGTAATTCGTTTTATTTTTTTTTATAAACCATTTAATTGCATTCGGAGGTACTTGTGCCTATAAACATATTTAATCTTTTGACACAGACACACAATGGTATTAGAATCATGTGATGTAAATACCCTGTATACTGTATAGGTATACATTAAACAGTTTTTTGTAGTTACGACACGTTATTTATTGAGAAGGCATCGAAAAAGAGGAAAAAAATATACAATGTGAAGGATCAGAAATAAAATAAAATAAAACACTTACATTTTACTTTTAAATATTTTTCGAGCAGCGAACTTGTTTATTACCTATATCGTTTACATCAGTATTTCTTAACCTGTTGGTCGGGACCCTTTGTAGTGGGGGGGGGGGGTCAATAACTTATTATATATGGTCACTACTAACTAACCTATGATTTAAATCAATACAAAAAATAAAACATTTTAAATAGTAACATAAAGTAATTAAAAAACTGCTGTGCATTAGGTGAGTCAATGTAATGGATGTGTTAAATTTGAATTCAGTAATCATTGTATACGAAAAAGGAGTCTGAGCGAAGACGATCTTTCGACTTTCAACCTATAATATTACTTAGTAAATTGTATGATATCATTGTAATTAAAGTACTTTACTTAAAATATTTTGACTCTTTTTTAGCTGTTTACGGACATTGTCAGTTTTCAATTTTCTTAGGTTTTTTTACTATAAATATCAATAAAATGTTATTTGTTGGGTAAAAAAGGGTGAACATTTAAAGCAAGGCTCCTGATATATTGTAACAATAATAGTTGAAAAATATTAAGAATACATAGGCACAATTTTTTTTTTATAAGCATTTAAAGTTCGAATTTTGACAAAATATATCATATTTAAAATGTAATAATAATTTTTTATTTTTGTGTCTGTCATCACGGTCTAGGGCAGTATTACTGCTTCGATTTTCTTCAACACTATCTTGTTCGATGGGAAAGTGAATCTAGTTAATGCATTCGGGAGTTCAAATTTTAATTTTAAATTTCCTAATAGTTTTCATAAGCGACGGGAAAAACAACATAAAAATTAAATAAAAACGGGAATTTCTACGCAAAATTGGTTTTCCACAAAATCGATTTTGGTTTTTGGTTTAACTCTAAAATAAATGAACGTTTATACTTGAAAATTTTACTGAATGTTTATATTTTTATTTTCTATACACCATAAAAATTTGAAAATATTTTGACTCTTTTTTAGCTGTTTACGGGCATTGTCAGTTTTCAATTTTCTTAGGTTTTTTTACTATAAATATCAATAAAATGTTATTTGTTGGGTAAAAAAGGGTGAACATTTAAAGCAAGGCTCCTGATATATTGTAACAATAATAGTTGAAAAATATTAAGAATACATAGGCACAATTTTTTTTTTATAAGCATTTAAAGTTCGAATTTTGACAAAATATATCATATTTAAAATGTAATAATAATTTTGTAGTTAAAAATTTATAAAATGTTCAACTTTTATACCTAAGGATTTAAAATTTAAAACGAGGTTCCACGTTAGTAGGTAAATTTATAAATTACTTTATTCACAATAATATCATCAAAATTAAAATATACTTAGTAATGTCATAGGCTGAATGACCATTTTCGCTCAGAATCGTTTTTCTTATACAATGATATATCATTGAATTGAAATTTAATACCATCCATTACACAGTGACCCACTTGTAACCCACTGTACAGCAGAACAACTTTTTTTTCTGTATTTGTTCATTGAAATAACCTCAAGGTCTTTGTCAATGCTTATCAATAGTAGGTAGTAGGGAGCTGGGAGATAATGTGATCTA